AGGCATAGAATTTTTTAAAGAGTAATTTGCACATAATTTACTGTTCACCTCATCCCAAAAGTAGCAACAGATTAGTGACGTGGATTTAATTTGACCCGCAACCTACACCAACACAACTTCATGCAACAGATTCTCCAACAAAACTGTTCATACCCCTTCACAACTTACAAAAAGTAGATCCAACTCACACACAGTGCACTTCCGGTCGGTTCAAACTTTTCCAGTCACCTCAACCTTCAGGGTTCATATAAATTCACATTTTAATGTCTTATTAAGTTTGAATGGCATTAAAAAGCTGAGTGTGAAAAGGAGATGTAAAAACAGCAAGCTTTCGGTAAACAGAAACCTAGGTTTTCACACCATTTTCCCTCCATCAGTCGGTGACATCCGCCCAAACTCAAACCAGCAACGAGCAATGGAGGAAGCCCTGTCAGATTTTTCCTCCGAGGAAAATAACTTTTCGCAACCATAAGCTCGCAGTCAGGTATTTGTGCTTCGAGTCCCATTCTCAAAACGAGAATAAAAGTAATAGAGAAAGGTGGGGCAAATGTACTAGGTTTTTGAAAAATTAAAATATCTCAAAACTCCCAGCATTGCGAATCAAATTAATTCCATACACTGAATTTTTCTTGGTTAACAACTTTCTCTTGCAGAACCTATAGAGGAATATATAGTTAAATCATTCACCACCGGTGGGACAAAGGTTCGATTTAGTTATGCCAGGTTTTAGGACGTTTTGATTGTGTAAATCATAGTATGCATCATGAAGACATCAATAAATCCCAAATTGGTGTCCAGATATTGTTAAATCTTGGCGAACAACGAAATCCAACGAAATGCAGTACTTTCGCATTTTTACGTGACTTTTGCACAATCTACTCCATTTATGTTTATTTAAAGTATATAAACGCTTCCCAGATTTTTGTGAATGTCAATGTTAAAACATGGAGTTTTACACAGGCTTTGAATACCTCAAAAACGTTTTGTCCCACTCGAACTTTTGCCCCACCTCACTCTACGGCTGAAATAATAACACCTACTCGCCCTGCCCGGAATACTCCCTTTATGTACCCACACCACACACATCCCCGAAAGGTATTTCGGAAAGTCGAGAATCTATTCTATTGCTGCTAGCAGCACGAGCTTCCACTTTTGCTTTTGGGTATGGAAAGCTGTTTGTCCGTTTGTGGTTACGAAACTTAATTATACACAACCCTAAATCTACTCTACACAATGCTGCCATGTCGGAAGGGAGGGTGCGGTTGGGGGAGACCTAAGCTGGGATGTTGATATTTCATTGCCTTACGTTCCAAAAATACCTTACAAGCGAGGTTTTATCACTGCAAAAAGTCACACCAACATAGCTGTATCGAAAATAATGACATAAGAATTTGTAGCTTCAATTAAAATTTTGGCTGTTCTCATGCACCTCTCTTTAGATCAGCTAGCCACCGTTGCTAGTTAGTTCGCTGATCGTCTCTCCACTTTCGCTGCTACTCCGACAGTATTTGAGTAACTGCCCTGCTGACGGCATTCGGGTGTTTCTTCTACATTTCCACATTGCGTACAAACGTTCCGTTGCGTGTCCGAACCGATGTAGATAATGCCTGAGGCAACCGTGACCAGATAGGAATTGCGTTAGGTGAAAATTTACCACTCTATGCTATCTGTTCACCCTGGTCGAGAGATTTGGTATTAGCCTATAAGTGCTGCCACTTCGCCATAAACTCCGCTCTCACCACATTTCCGTATATCCGAGCCTCAGTATCGACGATGATACACTAGCCAGAAGACGCCTCTTGTTACTTCTTGGTCCAGAGACACTAACTACTCCACTGTGCGTTCCATTCCAGAGCGTTGGACCAAGATTGGAGACTGGTGGAAGTCCGGCCGTGGTCCTAAATAATAGATCTTTGTCCCATGTCGGTCTCGTAAACCAGAACCCGGTTCAGGAAATAACTCTTCAGAATTCTGCACAGGTAGTCAGGGACTCTCATTCTGTGCGGCGCTTCGGCAATGGCTTCCCAGCTAGCGCTAATTAATGCATTTTTGACGTCAATCGTTATTACAGCTCAATATAGATTTACCCTCCGTTTCGGTTTGCACGACTTCTCGGCTCTCTCCATCACTGTCTGAATTGCATGCACCGTTGATCTCCCTTTACGGAATTCGTGCTCACTCTCCGTACATTTTGTCAGCCTGTTAAGAATTATTATTTCCAAGAGCCTATACGATGTTGGATCCTTTGGAGGTTTTCCTAGTTCCGGCAGCAACACTAGTTTCTGTATCTTCCTGGGAAGTGACCTACATCCAGACATTTCTGCAGCACCATCCTAAACATGTCCGGGAACGCCTGGATCTGACAATCATCACGATTGATCTAAAATGTGTAAAAGTGACTGATCGTGCACCGAACTTTGTTTCCCTACGTTGTGATATATTTAATAGATAAAAACAGACCGACTGTTGGGCCATCCTGCCATGGCGGAGGCATACGAACTATACACGTTTATTCAATTGTTTTTACATACGACTGACAAATAATAAGACAATTATACATGGACAAGTGGTGACATCTATGTACAGGTAGAGTTATTATTTTATGCTTAGGGTAAAGGCGGTAAACGTCGCTTGCACGAACATACCGGCCCGCCAAAACCAACGGTTTTAAAATAATTTAATGATTTCGATGATGAATTCACTGGTCTTTCTTTATTCTTCGTCGGTGGATGAATATTGATATTAGAAAGTACACTGATGCAATCACGCAGGCAGATGAATATCCAACGTAGACACTTGCCCGTTGTCAATGAGCATCCGCCTCTAGCTAAATACTGAGCCGTTTGCAGCAGTATCGGAGGGTGAGCTAGATCCAAGCGGGATGCTCTGCTAGATGGCTGCTTGAAAAGCCACACCATCGTAGCCGGTAGCGTAGTTGAATACTCCATAGCACACTGGTTTGATCGCACAAATGCACAAAGTTCTGGGATTTTCGAATCGGATAATCACGTCACTTTCATTACAGTTTGCGCAATCCTGGTCACGGCACCATTATGATCGTGCACCGAACTTTGTTTCCCTACGTTGTGATATATTTAATAGATAAAAACAGACCGACTGTTGGGCCATCCTGCCATGGCGGAGGCATACGAACTATACACGTTTATTCAATTGTTTTTACATACGACTGACAAATAATAAGACAATTATACATGGACAAGTGGTGACATCTATGTACAGGTAGAGTTATTATTTTATGCTTAGGGTAAAGGCGGTAAACGTCGCTTGCACGAACAGTGACAATATTGCGCACTCTCAACCAAAGTAGACTCAGAGTAGAACTAGCCAGGCTAAAAATCTCCATAATAAAGAATTAAAAAAATCATTTCTCAATAGTGGGCCCATACAAAAATTCAGCAATCGACTAAATTTTCAATAGCAACGAAAAATATCCATTAGTACCGTCCCAAATGACGCGTTCATCCAGATAAAATTGATATATAGTAGATTTTTAGCGATGGGCCCAATCTTAGATCCATTGTCCAACATTAGAGCCATTTCCCCTATTTAAAAAACATTAATAGTTCCAAAAATATGTAAAGTTTGCTTAAAAAACTATCAAAGTTAGCCCATTTTACGGTACTTGGGCTGGCACAACTCCAAGTAATTTTGCCAGTACATCTTTGATCTGCTCCAGAGATTCACCACTGGGTAGACCTTTCAAGACAACCTTGAACAGATGTTCAGTTTTGGTGTCGTAAGTAAAAAAAATGGTGAATGGTGACGTTTGAATCCGTCCAAGGTTTCAGCCACAAAAGTTCCGTGCGAAGAGGATGGAAATCGGAAATGGTTATCACAATAGAAGGAAACTTTTCCTTCTTGGCATTAAACCGGGAAAGATTATTAGATTTTTTCCTTTTTCATTCTCATCATCTGTGAGCAAATCAAATTGATTGATCAAATTAATTTCATCAGAAGGTGGATCAAGAGACTGCCCTTTTTGCGCTTAGGTGCCATTGCGGCAGTAGCTGGTTACTATAAGCTTCCAGGCTTCCAAGCTGGTTACTATAAGAATCTGAAGTATCGAAGAGGGATTTTCCAATTCGATATCCAAGCAGAATATCGATATCGAAAGAACAAGGATCAAAGAGGAATAAGAGTCGAACAAGTTACAACATTTACAGTCTCCGTTCATGCGGTCTCCACTAACATCCTACGATGATTAATCCCTTATAATTGTGTACATCCTTCGGTTGGGTGTACACTACGGAAGAAATCATATCAAAAAGACTGGCAACTCCCACGTTTTCTCATACAACTGCTATGAGACAGACACAATCTAGCGTTTAAAGGTAAATACCCCAAACAAATTTGATGGCAAAGACCTCATATGTTTGTGTATGTATTCAAAAATTCCATGTTTTGTTTCCACCACATAGCGCTACAGTATCTGTCGCTTGTATTCTGGAAATGTTGCGTGTCTTTTGATATGATGTCTTCGCTACTACACAAGAACCCTGCCAATTTTGTTTTGTGTTTTTGGAAAGTGGCTGTCAGTAGTTGTGAGATCATATTTTACAGCAAACGGTTATCAAAGTTGGTTTTTAGCGTCGAACTGCACTTTGTCGTTTTCGGTACCTATGAGCGATTTCTTCTGTCACAACATAAATGTTTGCCATTGATATCAATGAGCTTTACTACTAAACTTGTGATACCAAACACCGCCACATTTTTGCGATACGGAATGTATTATTTTCACTCCACAAATAATTCACTCCGACTGATCTCATTTGGGTGTAAATAGAATGAAAATTTGTAAATAGAAAATATTTTAAAAACCTGACGCATGTAAATACATACTATCTTTTGAAATGTTAGTGCTGAATTATATGCATAAGCTGTTATGCATTATTGCATATTTATTTATTATTTTCATAATTTGCTTTCCCCTTCCGATAAAATCTGCAATAATTACAATTCATCAACAAAAAAAATCCTACCTTCCGTTGGTTGGCAGTGGGAACCCGTCGAGCGTCCACGAGATTTGCGGTGTCGGATTACCCTGAGCGGAACACTTGAGCGATACGGCTGGTCCCGGTTGAAGTGTCTGCTCGATGAAGCTGTACACCAACGATGGCGGGGCATCTGTTCGTAAGAGGCAGGAAACGAGAGGGTTTGAAAAAATAAAATTAAAGATTGCGCAGAACGAGAAAGTGAACATAAACGAGCATGGTTGGATAAACAAACCGCAAAGTGTGCTGCCGTCTAGGATTGGAAGGGAGAACGAGTCTGGGTGAATTCCAGTGCAGAATAGGCAGAGACCTCCGTTGGCGGATTCGGGATTGTAGAAGAGCGCTCGGAAAGAGGAACAGCAGCGATTTACGAGAGTTGGCTGATAATTAATTTGCGGTTGAGTAATTTTCTCCGAATCTTCCAAGCGCAAAATTTTTCCGGAACTCTTTTACCCGCAGGAAAAAACTGGAAAAAGGACCCCGCCGATGGAGGATGTGACGATGATGCCCTTTTAAGCTCTGACCGAAAAATTATCATCATTAAAATGTGTACCGACAAGAATTAGGGCTTGGGATAGGAGTGAGAAATAATTTTTCAAATTTATATAAACACGTTGTTATTGCTGCCGGCGGTGACGTGGTGGTGGTTTGGTGGTGATGATTTTGTCGAGGGAAATTAAGTGTGGGATTGGGTCGAATCGTAGATTTTCTTATCCGTGGAAATTTTCTGTGCCATTCCGTTGTTTGCCTTCTCCATAATTCTTTGGGGATGATGTTTTCCCACAGAATTATAACTAGCTCATTGGAGCGAAGATTTGAAAAATTCAAAATCTCATTACCTATTTAATAACCGAAGGCAGTTTATGGTTAATTAAGTTGGATTTAAATTGGATTGCATTAAAATTAGATAAATAAATAAACGGCAACGGTTGTTTGCTTAGGGACTATTATGAGCTTTGGTGTGCCTCGCCTTGACACCGAGCCTTGCTGAATATATTCGACTTGCTTGTTTGCGTGGGAGGAATGTTGTTGGAAAGAACGAAGTCGGCCACGGCAAAGCAAGTAGTATATTAGGATGTCCTACGTTTGCTTCAGGGATTATACAACACGTTGGGATGCTCGAGCATTTCTGTTTCGTACTGGTACGCGTTCAGGTGTGTTCGAAATGGATAGGTGAACTGCGGCTTGTTAATATCACCATCTAGGCTATGGAATGTGTGTCAATCTGGCGGTTGGCCAATGTAGCTACGTTTTATTTTAGGAGGGGTTGGGTATGTTTTATTTGTTCTATTATTATGATAACTGTGGAACATTAAAGTCTGTATTTTTGACGTGTTTAAAAATGTTGTAGTGTGGTTGTAGTTTATGAAGCACAAAAAATAATAATAATAAATAAATACTCTCACCGATACCTACCTCCAAGTTGCAGTTCGGCGGACGCTTGAAATGAATCGCCCTCTTGCCGCCGAACGACGCACTGGTACATTCCCTTGTCCTCCCGGGTAACACCGGTTACCTGCAGCGTATCTCCCACCCGCCCCGAGCTGGGCAGTTGGCGACCGTCCTTGAACCATGTGATGTGCTGTGGTCCCGCATTCATCCCATTGGCCGTAACCAGGCATCGGAACTCGGCAGTGCCGCCCATGTGAACACTTAGCACGTTTGGAGATATCTCAACATGAATCGGTGTCGACACCGTTAGCCGCAGATCGGCACTGGCTTCGCCACCGGCATTCGAAGCGGAGCACTTGTAGACTCCTCCATCCTCGCTCGTCACGGCCTCGATGGCTAGCACCGGCCCGAGCAGTCGTATCCGCGGTCCGGACGAGACGGGAATCGGTTCCGGTCCGTTATGGGTGTACCATCTGAAATTGAAAAAAAAATTGAGAAGATGTGAAAGAAGAAAATCAATTTCATTTCCAGCGTCCGGTGGTGGCGAGCTTGTTTCTTGATTGGTTGCACCCTGAAAGTGGCAGTTAGAAGTTTCACTTCTTTTCAATTGTGTACGACCAGAGGCAGGAAACAAGTTGAAATCAATTTCCGTTGTTTCCTTCTTGAAGAGGGTGAAATGGTTGAGATTGACACAGAATGCAAAATTAGAACGGCTGATGGTGCAATGACCGACGGGAGGAAGTACATTGAAGTTTAATAATATTGCGCATGTTATAATAAATTCTCATTATGAGGAAAATACAATAGTAGACATAGAACTCCGTAGATTTGATATAGAACATCATGCCCGGTATCGATGAACGGCTATCATGCAAGTGCGTTTCCGACGCAGCGAAATGAGAATTTAAGACAAGCACGCCAGTAAGAATTCCTCCGCGCTTCTATTTTATATAGTAAGGTCATTAGAGAAAACTGGACATACTTGATCCCTGGAACACTGTTTTCTCGAAATCCAGGAAAGTTTATTATTAAGATAAGTTTCCAAAAAGTTTCGTCTAGACGGAAGATAATGCTATTGGTGACGTTTGCGTCAGATTGCCTTTTTTTCCTTTATTTAACGTCGGTCTCTGTTCTGCAACCTAGTGCCAATCACCGACGGACATCGATTGCTATCCATTGACAGCAATCGAATGTGCTGGAAGCCAGCTTCCACACCTGCGTGGGATATCGCACCCATTCAACACACATTGGCTGGGACCAAAGGCTTTACTTCCCTTCCGAAGGAAGACGTAACTAGAGATTTGTATGCTTCAGAAAAATCCCACTGATCTCGGCTGGGATTGAATCCAGACCCATTGGGGCAATGCGTCAGATTGTGGAACGTATATATTTTTGAGAGCAGTTCTCATGTTTTCACTCTCTTAGACTTTTTTTTAACCAGTATGAACAATCTTAGTAACTTTTTAAATATTCATTTAAAACGTATAAGGTTTGGCAGCTGAATTTTTTTTTTGTGTGTGTGTGTGAGCCTGTATGAAAATCGTATGAAGTTTCAATTTTACCGCTGACATATATCCAACATTAAAACAGGGGATCAAGTGTGTCCACTAGGGTGGGTCAAGTTTACAACCCCCTGTTCCCCACTACTCTTTCAATGCATATTGAATTCCACAACAACACAGCAAAAAAATAATTTTGATATCACATCAAAGTGGATGCACTACAATCATGTCGAAAATTTCATGTAATTTTTATGACCACATAAATAAACAAATGCAGTAAAAGCAGCGTAATGTCAGTTCATGCATTGTATTAACGATAATTTTGCCCTTTTTAGCAAGTAATATTACAACATATTTTCGACATGATTGTAGTGCATCCACATTGACGTGATATCAAAATTTTTTTTTTGCTGTGAACTGTGTGTGGCCAAAGAATGTGGTAATTAAATAATTCCAACCACCGGTAGTCGTTCCGCTGGTTATTTCGTGTATGTATTTATAAATCGCAGGATATCACCCCTATGTCACTTTCCAGCTGATCCGGTTAAATTGGCCTTTCAAATGCCTTCAGGAATCGCAGGTGTGTATTGGCCTTTGTGCTGTTGCGGGTTGGTGAGTATTTTGTCCTGATTGAGAACATTCTCGCACGCATAAGTTTATTCATAATCAGCGTTAAATAAAACGAGCCAAGAAACTGCAATCATGAAAAAATGCTGTGACTCTGAATGTCAATGAAAGATTTGAATCTGATTAAAGTGTTATGCCAAAACAGTTTTGCGAGCAGTTAAATTGCGCTGAATAGTGAGTTTTATCTGCTTGATAGTGCGACAAATAAAGTAAAAAAAAAAATAATATTAGTGATCGTTCTTTGTCTGTTTGATGATGTTTGTTTAACATGTTGCTGGTTTTCTGTTGATGGTTAAAATGATTGCTTGTGGCAGAAAGTGGATACTGATCATCTCCGAAGTGGAGTGGTTCTTCAAGATCAGCGAATCCAAACACATAATGCAACCAACGATAAAGACAAAACTGTTGCTACGTCTACCACGATAAAAATCTCCTAAAAACACGGTAAAGTTTCTTTGCAACACAGCTCGATCGGAGTGGTAGAAGGATAATGATATATTGTTTGCCTGCTTAATGCTTAATCGGAATGGACTTAAGGCATACAAAAATCCCATTAGCACAGTGTATTATCTTCGGCGTTACTTCGTGAAGCAGATTACCAACAATTTGGGCATTTCCTTCTACCGGCCAGAGCTAGCTATATTGCAATGGCAGTTTTTTCATGATAAAAAGGGAAGTAGATTATATCATCATTGCTTTCCATTTCTGACATAGCGTTATCGTTCGGCTCATAGATTGCTTGTCATTTTGTCATTTTGAGATATTTTTGATTCATTGCTCAGAAACCATGAGATGATATTGGCTAGCAGATTACCTCACCGAATGGAATGCTAGAATTAGATGAAGAATTGGATAGCCCAGTTGTCCGAATTTGTTTGTGGTATGGATGTTTTAGTAAAAGATCAAATGTATGAAATGGTTTTGTATAGCCAACGATAACCAAAAATGTGATTTTAAATTTCATCTATTTTTTGTGTCGTGAATCTACAAATGAACGAATATTGTTTTCATGGATATAGAATTGATTCGTACTATTTCAATCCATAGATTTTTTTCCTTTGGTTTGTTTTCCGTGCTGAGCATCAATGCTACCGACTCGAGGGAGGCAGCTCCCACACCTGGACCCTACCTATCGACCCATCAACTCACGAACCGGGGACCCATAGATTTATTAATTGTTCATACGAATAATTCGTAGTATTTCGTAGAGTAAAATAATGTTTTTTTTAGGTAAATTACAAATGTATTTCGTTGCAGAAAACAGTGAAAAGCTTCGTGGTACAAACGAATATTTTCATTGAATAAACTATATTTTATTTTCAGCGTAGGTTCATTTAATTTCCCATGCATTATCCCATGTAAAAATAAACATTCTCCCGCAGATCCAGATCATAACCAAATTTGTTGAAATTTTACACCGTTGTTGAGGGCCTCAATACTTATTGAAAGAGCAGTGGGGAACAGGGGGTTGTGATCTACCATATAAATTTTACCCACCCTAGTGTCCACTCTTTCTTATACAATTCTTTGCAACAAACTCAATCATTTAAATAGTAAATCATTGTTCATTTAACATTATTCACTTACTCTTAGTTAAGACGTTTAACTCCTGTCGAAAATTTTCGACATATTTTATTCTTTTTAATAGTTGCCAATTGTTTTCTGTGTGGCATTTATCAATGACCATGACATTTACCAATAAAGGACATGTTAATCTAAAGCTTCAGAAATCATAGTTTCTGGTCATTTCTGGATGTGGCACTATCGCCCTAAGGGTGTCCGGAATTAGGTTAAAGGATACTAGGCCGAAGGTCATTAGCCCAGACTTAAATAAATTTGGACGAGATTACTTACACAGTTTTGTTTTAATATTTTAAAAACTTAAACATTTCTTCAAACTATTCGGACTTGGCAAGCAATTATAGTGCATTATTTTTATAGTATTTTTCCTTCATTAAAACATAAGTAGTTCTTCGAGTTTTACTGTTTTTTTGTGATTTTCCGTACATGATCAAAATATGCAATAATTTTTTTTTTCATATTTAAAAACCTATTCATTCTTTTCTTAAACCAATATTTATGACTATGTGATAGTTATCTTTGGATAAGAATTTCAGGGTGTCATTTGGCTGAATAAAATTCCCTGAGTTTTCCTGAGTTTTTTCAGAACTTTTACGGAAAATTCTCAGGTTTATAAGAAAGTTGTCTTTTTTTAATTCCATAAAAAATACGTTGTTTTTGGTAAAAAAACAACAACTTGATTGCCGCAAACGTTTTTAAGACATGACAATTAGTTCAATAATTATCATTAAAATTAAGTTTCGTTGGAATCATCATCGGAATTCAATTCTCATTGAATTTTTCTCAGAATTACCATCAGTAAGAAATCCTTGGAATTATCCTCAGAATTGTTAAAAAAATCATGTCAGAATGCCCTTTGAATTTTACTCCTTCCCTTGGAATTCTACTCACTCTGAAAGTTTCATAAGATTTAGCTTGCAGTGAAGAAACAAATTCCATAGATTTCTCAAGTAAGAACCCTCCTAAAATTCTTTCCCAAGTTCCTTTGATGTTCTCCTGGAATTCTTTTATTGTAATCCTCCTTCAAGCATACTACCAAAGTATTCTCCGAAATGAGTGCAGTTCCGAACGCCGTTGGATACGGTTGTGTTTTAAGTTTGTTCTCTGTTTTGTGCGTGCGTTCACTTTCATGATTTTCGGCTGCATTTGCCGGATTAGCGCTGGCACTCTGCCTCCTGGACGGTTATACGTGTGTGATTGGTGGTTTTCTCCCTTTATGGGAAGTTTTAGAATCGAGAAAGAAAATGTGATTCATCTTGTTTGTTTGCAAGCATCAGAAGAGATGCCTGCGTTGTTTGATTTTTTTCTCCCGGACCAGAAATTAGTGGTATCGCGAGTGATAATGTGCGTGAAAGAACTCGGTACGATCGGTGTTGATGTTGGTTCGCTTGCAACTATTTTTGCAAAAAAAATTAACTACGTAGACAGGATTTTGGGATTTTTGACCCCTCCCTCCCCCTGCGTAGACAATTGTCCATACATTTTTTTTTAAATTTGTATGTGCCTTGCATAATTGCCAACGCGACGTGACCAATTCAAGAGAATCTTATTATTTTTTATTAATGTCGCTTAAGAGTTGAATTTAATGAAGGTATAAGCGCTTTTTCGTAGCTTTTTTGTCTCCAGGTTTAAAAGATCATCGGTAGTAGAGGCTTATTCTTGTGTAAAGGGCACCACCGTGGTGTTTGAGTGTGAATAAAACCCAGGTTCTATTATATTATTATTATATATTCAATAATATTTATAACAGGACCAAAACACAA